GTGAAAAATGTTTGTAAAATGGGTACATATTCTGCAATTAATTTTACCTACAAGTCCAGGAAATTCAGATCTGATCATATTGACAGAAATTTTATTAACATTTGACTGAGTATGGAAGGAGCAAATACAAAAGATTATAATGTGGTGTCAGTAAATTTTGGGGTAGATGGACAGGTTAATTACATTCTTAATTTTCCGGGTATATCTATATATCAAAATTCTCAAATTTTTCACTTAAGTGTGTTCATATAGTGTATTTAAGTTTTACTATATAAAAGTATATAAGAGGGAAATTCTTTTCTTGAAACATTCCTTGGCCAAGGCAGTTTTACCAGAACTTTTATAGCAAAATTTAAGATAGACTTAAGAACAATCTTATCAATCTATTTGATAATAGAGAAAACCAAAGTAATCCAGGAATTATTTTGTAAGATCTATATGTAAACATGACATAAATCTTGTTCAAGTAAAAACAAAATAAAGATTTCTTCCATAAAATTAATATAAAGTGTTTATAAATATTTTATTTATTCATTTAATTACTTGTTTTTTTTGTTGAAACAGATTCCTCCTATGTAGTTCAAGCTGACCTTGAACTCACTATGTAGCCCTGGCTAGCCACCAACTTATGGCTATCAACCTGCCTCAGCCTCCCAATTGCTGTCATTATAGGGGAAGGCCATGATTCCAGGCTATAAAATATTTTAAAACCCAAGCAAAAAATATGTTAATTACATAACATATGTACTTATTAGTTTTGTCTGAGTATAGAATTTTTTAAATGAGAAAACAATTAATGGATTTTATTAAATTAATACAGTATGGAAAATTCATTGCATTAAATTTCATAGTTTCAAACCCACCTAACTAATCTTTAATAAATTTAACATTTATTCATTATAAAATTGTTAAGCAAAAGAGCAGAAGGGGAGGGCCAGCCTGATAACTCAGCAGACTAGAGTGCCTGCTTAGGCAGAGTGCAGTGGCCAGGGTTTGATTCCCGGTATGTCATGCTGGCCCTGCCCCAGGGATGCACTGAGACAGTGATTGAGGCTGGGCATGGTGGTGCATACCTGTAATCCCAGCGCTTGGGAGGATGAAAACAGGAAAATCACTATGAGTTTGATCTATGTAGTAAGAAACCCCGTAAACCTTATACCCCTGCAGATCCTGTCCTAAGTACAGGGGAAAAAAAGAAGAGAAGGTAATTTCTCTATCTTAACAGTAATATTTTAAACATTTCCCAGCATATATTGTCATATGTAAATGGAATGAAATTAAAAGCACTCATTTTAATTTTAGGAAGTATAAAATGCATCTCTTATTACTACTCTTCTTTCTGCTTGAGCTTGATCTGTATGTAGAAAAATGAAAAGTAACAGAAAAATGAATCGTACAATTTAAACACAGATGATAATATTGATCTTAAAATTAAATCAATAATCTATAGATAAATGATGATTAATATGAAAGATTAGTAAGATTTGTGGATAAAAAAATCTATAAAACATCCTAATGCAAAATTCAGAACCTTGTCTTGCAATTTTAATTATATAGAATATATTAACATGAATAATAATTTTTAACAAATTAAAAATTATCAGAAGGCTTAAAGACACGTTTTCCTAATGGGTCAAAGAATAAGAATAATCATTGTGGAGTCTGATTCTGATTTTTATTATAGAGAATCATTTTTGAACCAGATTCAATAGAACTGTAGGATACAAAACATGGTATCTTTTTTTCCAGATACAAAAAGAAATGTACTAACCTCATAGTCAATATATGTAAAGATTTATGAGGTTAGAAAGTGGTAAAGGTGGATTTTTCATACCTCTGTAAAGTATTTGGGCTTTACTTCCATAGGATTCCTATGGAAATGTATTATTATTTTACACTTTCAGTTTAATTGTTGTTTCTAAATCTGCTACTAGTAAAACTCCATTTATCTCAAAAGGTGAAATTTTGTGTTCCAAATTTAATTATATTTAGTTGTGTTGTATGCTTCATATGATTTAAAGTTTGTTAGAAAATCATAAATAAATATCAACTCTTTAAGTTCTACAGAACATACATTTGAATTATAGGTAAAAATAGCATTTATTGAGCTGTACCACCTTGCTATTAGTTTCATAATATAAAAATGCTCATTTTCTCTCCAGAAAGAAATTATATTTGAATAACTTTAGACAACAGGCAGGCCAGGGAGATGGCTCAGTAGAATAAGTACTTCCCTGGCAAACACAAGGGCCTGAGTTCAATCCCTGGTTCCACCAAAAAAAAAAAAATCCTTAAACAACAGGCAAATTGTCAAGCAACTATTTCCTTTTATTTGTATGATATTTCATTTATTTTATAATCATTTTTATCTTTTGTATTTCTAAAAAATATATACATTAGGAGTGCAAGAATATATATTAAGAAATATATATTGTGTTACCAAAATATACATTAATATTGTTATCACAAAATAAAAATGCACACTTAATTATAATGTATTCATGCGATACTCAGAGGAATATAATAATGGAAACTTATTAGTAAAGTTTGTACTCAGCAGAAAGACCGCCACAGAATGGATGCCCAACTACATATGTTGTCATATTTATTTACTAAGTCCCATTTTTACACAAGCTTTTAAGTAACACTCTGTGAAGAAAGCTCAATCAAAACTAATTCAGAGGGAAATAGCACTTTTGTTGTTTTATGCCAATGAAGGCAATAGTGAAATGACGTTTATTAAGTCTAATTTATCTTATAATTTAAGTACAAATTAACAATCTGTTTTTAATGTATTTAGTACAGAGTCTACAGGGTCTTACTACTAGATAAGACTCATAGTGATCTGTGTGTTTTCAGCCTCCCAAGTGCTGGGATTACAGGTTCACGCCACCACTCCCAGTCTCAACAACTGTCTCAGTGCTCCCCGGGGGCGGAGCTGACACAGCACTCCAGCGATATAACCCTGATCTAATCCCTGTGTCTGCCTGTGTAGATGCTTTAATCCTCTGAGCTATCTGGCCAGCCCTAAATTAACAATTTTTTGGTAAAAGACAATACTCGATTTTCAGTAAACAACTTCCCCATGTCTGAAGGTGTAAAGATTTAAAAAGTAGAGCCAGAAATATAAAATATTTGCTCTTTACTTGCTTTTTGTCCTTTTCTACTGTGTGAAAATTTTCTAGATTGAGAGAAAGTTATTAGGGACTTTTTTTTTTCTGAATCGGATATTGAACTCAAGCCCTTTCGCTTGCCAGGGAAACGCATATTCTACTGAGCCATCTCTCAGGCTCTATGCATTTTTTCCCCTACAAACTTGGTTATCTCTTTACGTTCTATGATTTTTGAAAGGTCACATTCAAAGGAGAATTCTGTAGAAAAAGGATTTGTCTTCAATGCCAATTTCTTGGGAAAGCTGTGGTCATCTTTAATGTAATTAGATTTTATTTCAGTCCCCCAAACTTGGAGAAAAAGGAATAGAGGAATAGTTGACATTTTAAAACCTCCAAGCCATAGATATTAGTTACCAAGGAAGACCATATCTTTAACAGTAATTATCTTCTATACTGTTGTTGTTGTTTTTATTTCTGTAAATAAAATAAACCTCACTAAATACAGACATGTTTGTTTAGTTTTTTTTTACAATTTTATGAGATTAAAGAAATCTTGATTTTCCCTTTCAGCAACTCAAAATCGTCATGAATGCCAACTTAATAGTTTAAACATAGAATATATGATATATTCTTACTTCCATTATTAAAGCAACATAATGAACTAAATCTACAGTGAGTGGTCAAATTAAATTTCCCTCTGTATTTTAAAAAATCATTCTGTACATTGTACAGAGCTATTCAATGGAAGCCATCAACTACCTACAATACACAGAAGTCATTACATTATTTAGATTTTAAATTGACAAAAATAAATCTGAAAATTATTTTCTCAAAATTTCACAGTAGTGCTTTTTATTCTTTATATTCACCTCACACACATATCCAGTTCAATACTCCAGAATTTTGTGAATTTTTCAGAGCTTCTCTTTATTCATGTTTTGTAAATATTTTGCTCTTTTCTGCAAGAATTCCAGACATTTTATTTTTACATTTTCTCTCAAATCCAAAGTCTTGGTCCTTGACTCATTAAGATTAGTGGGTTATAACTAGACATTACCTCTCTGCTTTTTGGACTAAAATTAACTGCTAGTAAAGTTGGGCAATCACAGGAGTGTGTTTCTGTTTTCATAGGAATTCATACCAATTGATGAATGTCTAAAAAGTTGTTTTTATGAATTTTTATTATTCTTACTATTTTCAGAGGGACAATAATATGAATTATATTTGTTATTTAGAAGATTGCCAATAAATCTGTGTGCACATACAAATCATACATCACTTGTCCATTAAATATTTTTGTATTATATCAGGGTTATTATGATGCTATGTTCATGGAATACATATTTTAGTATACATTTTCCTTGATTTCTTTCTCAATATACACTGTCACATGTATTTTTCTCTAAGGTAAACTGAGAAGACTTTCTTATCCCTATACATTTATGTGTATGGCAGGTAATATTTCTTTTTCATGTTGCTACTGGAATTCTCCAATAAAACCAGAACAGAGGGGACCGTTCTGTGGGAAAAGTAGCTTCAGGTTTTTTTGTAAAATAAATATCTAAGGGGTCAGGGAGATGGTTCCATGGAATATGCACTTCCCTTGCAAGTGCAAGGGCCTGAGTTCAATACCCGGTTCCACCAAAAAATAAAAAATAAAATAAATAAAATAAATCTCTGCTTTGTTTCTATGGTCAGTCTCAACTTATGCAGGTATGCCCCCTCTTGCTTCAAGTAGGGAGTATGACTGTCTCAAGGCCCCCCTCCATAATGGAGACAGGGGCCTCCTTGGTTACATTGTGACATCTCAGGCAAACAGCCCCTAAATAGCTCAGCAGTACACAGGCCTCCAGAAGGGAGACCGCATTCATGGGCTGAGGACACCGTGCTCTGGTGGCTTGGGGGAAGCCTGCAAACTTCACCAGGTAAACAGCTTGAGAACTTCAGAATCCTGTGGCTGTAATACCCCCAAAGATACCTGTTGTTTAACAAAGTTGCCCAGGTGATCTTTCTTTATTTTGGTGAAGTGTAGAAGATCAGCTGCAGGTATGTCTACTCCACATGAAATGGAAAATCCACCAGTAGTTTTTGACAATGGTTCAGGACTCTGCAAAGCAGGACTGTCTGGTTATATTGGACCCAGCCATGTCATCAACTCTGTTGTGGGTCACCCTAAATTCACTATACCTTCAGCAAGGGCCAATCGGAAAAAATACTTTGTAGGAGAGGAAGCCCAGTACAAGTATGATGCCTTGTATTTGCACTACCCTGTTGAACGTGGGATGGTAACAAGATGGGATGACATGGAAAAACTCTGGAAACATCTTTTTGAGTGGGAGCTGGGAGTTAAACCTAGTGAACAGCCAGTTCTGATGACTGAACCCTCCTTGAACCCAAGAGAGACCCGAGAGAAGACTGCTGAAATCATGTTTGAGAAATTTAATGTGCCTGCATTCTACCTGTGCAACCATGCAGTGGCAGCACTCTATGCTTGTGCCTCTGTCACTGGCTTGGTGGTGGACAGTGGAGATGGGGTCACTTGTACCGTCCCTGTCTTTGAGGGTTACTCCCTGCCTCATGCAATCACCAAGCTTTATGTGGCAGGGAGGGACATCACAGAACACCTCATTAGACTCCTCCTAGCCAGAGGATGTATCTATCCATGCATCCTCAACAAGGCTGTGGTGGATGAAATCAAAGAGAAACTGTGCTATGTCTCCTTGCAGCCAGAGAAAGAACCATGCAAGAGGCAGCAGGAAGTTGTGACAGAGTACAGACTGCCAGATGGGAATGTAATTAACATTGGGGAACATCTATGCCAGGTGCCTGAGGTGCTGTTTTCTCCAGATCAGCTCGGCATCCAGGACCCAGGGCTCTCAAAAATGGTCTGCAGCAGCATCATGAAGTGTGACATGGATATCCAGAAGAGCCTTTTTGCCGATGTTGTACTCTCTGGGGGTTCCACACTTTTCCCTGGGCTGGAAGAAAGGCTGATGGAAGAACTGGAGCAACTAGCTCCAGGAGGAACACCAATCAAGATCACGGCTTCTCCTGATAGATGTTTCTCGGCATGGATTGGCGCATCTATCATGGGCTCTATGAGCAGTTTCAGGCAGCTATGGGTGACCTCTGCAGAATTCAAGGAGTTTGGGAAATTTGTAGTAGAGAGAAAGTGCTTCTAAATGATGCTGAACTTGGTGGTTGGAAGGCATCTCAAAATATCTGTTATAGGAGTAGAAGCAGGAGATAAGATCATCCCTCGTAATTCAGTCTTACGGTCAATAAAAGAGCTGTCCCAACTCAGGCTTTACTTCATTTCGCTGACCTTTCCTGAAATGTTGTACAAGAACTTGACTGTGTTGCTGCTCGGTTCTTGTGAGTATGTACCTACAAAGACAATTTTGGATCATATGTTATTTCTTTTAAATTTTTTAGGACTACCGAAATGCTTTCTTAAGAGCTAGCCATATTATATTCTCATCACCATAAATGAATTCATTTTATTCATACCCTTAGGAACAGTTACTACTTTGATTTTTGAATAATAGACATTTTAATGTGCATGAAATGGTATCTCATTGTGATTTATATTTGCACTTCTCTGATGATTAGGGATGATCTGCATCATTTTGTAAGGTTGTTTGCTGTTTAATTTCTATTTGGAGAAATGTCTGGTCACTGATTGGGATAGTATTGTATTGGGTCATTTGTTCCTTGGATGTCAGGTTGTTTGAAATATAATCTGAGCCAGCCAGATCGCTCAGTGGACTAAAGCACCTGCTTAGGTAGTGCACAGCAGCCATGGTTTGATCACAGGTGTGCCATGCTGGCCCTGCCCCCTGGGGCATACTGAGATGGCAATTGAGACTGGTCATGGTGTCACACTCTTGTAATCCCACAGCTGGGGAGGCTGAAAACAGGAGAAGCACTACAGGTCCAATCTGTGTAGGGAGATTCTGTAGATCCTGTAGACCCTGTATTAAATGCATAAAATTAAATAAATTTTTTAAAAAGAAATATAATCTGGAAGTGAAACTACTGTCACACATATAAGTTTTCTTTTCTTTTCATTGATTACTTTTTTGCTCTTCTAATTTTTATGCATGTATCATTTAATTTCAGTGAAGTTTATCTTTTCAGTATTTATTTGTACATGTGATATCATATTTAAACAACCAGTACTATTTAAATTATGAAGACTTTCCCATGTTTTCTTCCAAAAGTGATATGGTGTTAACTCATAAGTTTAGGTGTTTGATTGATTTTGAGATTATTTTTGTATAAGGTATAAGGTAATTCTCTTACTTTGTTTTCTTCACATGTAGATAATCAGCTTTTCAGACACTATTTGCTGAAGAAATTTCTTTGCGACTTTCCCTAAGCAAACTATACATCATCAATCACATTCCTCTGTGGTCCCATAATCTAATTGAATCATTTAGTTACAGGATGTCAGCACAGGCTTTCTTATGTCCTGAATCCTCAATAGTTAGGATAGATAACTTTCTCTTGGTTCATTTAGAAAAAAAGTTTGTACTAATATTGTTTAGACAAGATATCATGTCTGCATCTTGTCTTCTGAATAACTCCTACAAAGAAATCAATATGCAATGTATTAATTATTGTACCTGTCCTATTAACCTGTTTGGAAACCACTTCACTGCTATTTTTTTTTCATTAAAATGAATAAAAAGGGCTGGGGAGATTGCTCAGTCGAATAAGTGCTTCCCTAGCAAGTGCAAGGGTCTGAGTTCAATCTCCGGTTCTGCAAAAAAAAAAAAAAAAAAAAAAAAAATCTTTGAATCTTGATACCTGTATTGAAAATAATTTATAAATTTATGTATTTCTTTCTAGATTCCATTCTACTTGGTTAATATACGTGTGTATCTTTATAAGACTACCACTGTTTTGATCAAAGTAGCTTTCTCTTTTTGTGGAACCAAATTGAACTCAGGACCTTGCATTTACCAGGCAAGCCCTTATTCCACTGAGTTATCACCACAGGCTCTAAGTTTTGTTTTGATTGTTTGTTTGGTTGTGTTTTTTGTTGTTTTGTTTTGATTGTTTGGTTGTGTTTTTTGTTGTTTTGTTTTGGTGGCAAAGTACCTTTTAAAATTTATTTTGGGAAATGTGAATCTTTCAATTTTGTTTTGCTTATATAAAAATCATTGAATCATTTAGTTTTCCTTGAAATTCTTTATTGATTTCATATAGGTTTCTCCATTTCACTTACAAAGAACATAAATATTTTAATAACTAATGCATTGAATTTCAATACCAGATTGTGTAGTATTGCCACCAGAACAAAGCTATGTATTATTTTTCCTATATGTCAAATAAATTTTCTGAAATTTTATTTAGTAATGTTTTAGATTTTTAAGTAGAAATGTTTTTCTTCTTGTCTAAATTTATTCTTGTTTTCTTTTTAATGCTATTCTAAATTGAATTGCTTTTTCAAATCCATGTTCAATTCATGTTTAATAATGTATAGAAATAAGCTGTTATTTGCATTTTAAATTTATATTCTACATTCTTGTTGAACTGAATAGCTCATATGTGTGTGGGGAGGCTTTCCACATGCAAGATAGTGCAGCCTGTAAACAGATAATTTTGCCTCTTCCTTTACACTTTGAAAGCATTTTGGATGTCATTATGTCAAATTCTTCTGTGTAAACTTTCTACTCTTATGATGGATACAACTGGTAAAAATTCATTGTTGTATTTTTTCTGACATTAGGAAAACATTAGTTTCTAAGTATGTTATTTCATAATATCTGTGGTTGTTTATATTCCATATGGAATTTATCATCTTTAGGAATTTTTTATTTCTAGCTTCTTAAGTGTTTATTTCATAAAAATCTGGGATTTTATTAAAAGTCTTTATCATTTCAGATGATGATATCATTGTATATATCATTTTTATGTTGACATTTATCTTATTCTGTTGGTCTGATGTATTTACTGAAATAACAAAAAATGTACATCTGACTTATTGTCAGGAAGTAGATCTCTTGGCAGCCAGGAGAACTATTTGAACAGGTCATTCTATATGCTTTGCTGCCTTGCTTACCTGATGCCATAGTGTGAAAAGCTATCCTTCTTTGGACATCTCTGCTATCTACTTCTTGCCTTGGAAACCCTGTCTTGAACTAAAATCAGAAACAAAATGATTCTCTCTTCCTTTAAATTTTGGGTGTCATATATTTTGTCTAAGCTACAAGAAAGTGAAAATGACACATTTTGGTACCAGTGTTGTGGTGGTATTGGTAGTAATTCTGTCCATATGCTTAAGAAGATTTGCAACTGGTCTATGGGAGAATTTTGGAAAAGATGGGAGATGCTGGCTAGAGGAAAGTTAGCATACATTGAGGTGATCTTGATGGGAGATTGTGATCAGATCAGAATCTTGCCTAAATGTAGAATGTAAAGACCAAACTCAGGAGCTATCTGTTGAGAACAAAGATTCTGTTGCCACTTGGCCTCAAGACCAAAGTGTTATACTCTAGCAGAGAATGTGATCTATTTGCTCTTCATAAGATCTTGGAGGAGACTGAGATTAAGGGAGTCAGAATAACTTGTTGAAAGAAATTTCAAGGAATATCAACATTTAGTCTTTGTCATGGGCACTATTGGGAGGGTATTAAGAGAAAAAGCACAACTGGGCGTTTTAAAAATTTTTAATTCCTCATATTTTCACTTTCTCCATAATTCTTCATGTATGGCTTCTAAGGTTTTGAAGGAGAAGTGTTTGTTCACAAAATTAACATTAGTAAGTAGCCCAGTACTTTGCATTAGTGTAAGGTAAGAATATCTTAGAGGCTTTCTGGAAGTAAACAGAATCCTACCCTTGGCAGTCTCAAATTCTTGAAGTGAACATCTTTTCTTTGCAAAAATGCTGCTTGAGAAAGGCTATCTAAGAAATTGGATTCCAAGTGTTTTACCCTTTATTAAAAGCCATTTTTTTGGCCAATGGCTTCTGCAGTCATATTTCAAAGGCCCGTTGTTTCAGCTACAGGAGCTTTTAGAATCATCCAAGTGTTGCTGATTTTACAGATATTCAGAAAGTAAAAGTTGTGTTGTCAGTGAAATTTCTGCACAGAGTTCAGAAGAAAAGACTGGGTAGCCAGGTAGTAGGGCCTTTATGATGGTGATATATAAAACCGTAAATGAAGAGCTGAAAGGTCAGTGGAGATCATGGGAATTGGAGAATCCAGGATCATGAAAATGTCCTAGGAACGTTGCAGAAATTAGCAAAGCCACTCCAAGAACCTGATAATGTGTGCTGAAAAACCACAGTGTTGTACCATCTGGGATAGCCTAGCATTTTGAAGTGCATAGCTTGCCACTGCAATTTTACAATTTTACATGGATTCTGGACATGGAACCACAGGGTTTCCTTTTAATCTGCTGGATTTGGGATTTCTTTTCATCACACTGCAAGGGTAAGATGAGAGCCCTAAAGTAAATCCATCCCACAGCTATCCTAAATTTTACATAAAAATTCAACACTTTCCTACCATAGCTTTGAAGCCCAGAATCTATCTGTCCAAGTATATTACACAGGCACTTGCAGGAGCATCTTGCCTAGCTTTTGCATGTGGAAGGATTCTGAATGACAGTGAAGTCTTATGCTTTCCCTGGAGAGTACAACAACTGCCACTCAAATCCCCTGCCATTTCTTCAGGGACCCCTCCATCTTGAGCACTCAGTATTTCTTGACAGAATGAAACCATGTAGAAATTCCGAACTGTTTCATTTCCTTTTCTGTGTTATGTTCTGTTTCTTAATTTTCTGTGTATATTTTAATTTTTCGGTCATCAACTTCCTGATGCTACATGTCATACTTCACTCTCTCTTTTCTTTCTTCCTAAAGATTTCATTTTCCAGTACTGGGACTCCAAATTTCAGAGGGGCTGAATTGTTGTCACTCTCTACTCAACCATTTATCTGTCACTTTTTATTTTCTTAAATTACATCTTCAAGTAGTTTCTTTGAGGGTCTGTGATATAGCACAGCAGCACAAGTACTAACCCAGCAAGTGCAAGGTGCTGAGTTAGATTCCTGGTACCAAAAATATACAGGTTATTTGATAATGTCTCTTTTTTATTTTTTATTATTATTTTTTCCATAATTTTATTGAGAAACAAATAGCAATGAGACAGTTTCAAATCAAATTGTTAGG